GTTGTTTAATCCAAAAAATAATATTTTTCAAAAGGTTATAAAAACTGTACTTAAAAGTTCCTTTTCTAAGAAGAAGGTGACTCACCTAGTGAATACAATATAACTTGCCATTTTGAAGGGCCTTAACCCTTTTAAAGCAGCAGAAAAAAAATCTAGAGTGATTAAGAAGGTTGAGCTTAATGTCCTTTGAAAAGGCTGTGTTAACAACTATGAGCAAAGATGGTTCCTCCCTCAACTCCCAGCTGCTCGACCCATAGGCAAACCACAAAACACTATTTCTGCAGTTTACTCATGAGGAGTGACTGTGCAGAGTCACGTGGGCTATCTCAAAGATCTCTCCTTAATCCAGAGAGCATTTTGGCAGCCAGGATCCTACATCCTGCGCCAGTCTCTGTGTAATGTTGTCACACTGCTAAAAGGGACATTTAATTTGCTATGGCTCTCAACCGGAAGTCAATGCTGCCTTGATCTTCTGAATGAAAGGTGGAATATAAATCTAAGTAGTAAAATAAATACATTTCAAGGATCATATAGGCCAAAATAGACCTAGGACCCATTTGGGGAATCAGCTTCAGTTGATTATAGGTGAAGTGGATACCTTAAATATCTGCAAGGCTTAAAGCACCCATTTTCCCCCATTAAAAAAACACACCCATACACCAAAGAGAGAAAATGACTCCAAAGGACCCATCCACTCTGAAACCACAAAAGAGATGCTGGTGTGCTATGTGTGGCCCCTAGGTCATATTTTTGTACCCCTGGCCTAACCCACTTAGGTCAAAGGGTGCTTTTGTTCTGAAATACATCACTGCAGAGAACCAGAGTAGTACAGAAATCCTGAAGCCAACCCAAAATATAATAGTTCATTATTGATTCAATAAGTTAATGAAGTGATGTTTTTACTGTCTAAACAAGCTCTGAGACACTGACAAATTTTTTAAAAAGCTTCCTGATAATGTTTTCATCCAAAATTTGTTGAGAAACGTTGTCTTGCAATTTTGTTTGGATTCATCAGTGCTTGACTAGCTAAGTACACAGTGCTCCATATTTGATTGCAAAAAGCTGCTTTAGAGCACATGGGGGCATGAGCGAAACATAATTTGCAGGATGAGTACCATAACAAATTTGGTTTCTCTTTCAAACTTCTAGAGGAATTTGTAGTGCCCTAAGATTTCCAGCAGATAATAAAAGTAGCCCCTCTGCCTCTTTTCAGTCCCAGTCAATTCCGCCCCCGCCCCCCCACTTCACGAATGGGAGGAGGAAATTTGTTTCTTCTCTACCCAACACTTATGCTTCATTGTGTCATCCTTGTGACTGAAACATGTCAACAGCATATTACAGCTATCAACTTTTCTTTGAACACATCCTCTGTTTGAACAGATTTAAAGATAAAGACAAAGAGAGAGGCAATCTGATTGTCCTACAGAGATTATGGAGATCACCTCCATACAAAGGGAGAATCTAAACTTTGACAGTGTCCATTCACAGTTAATAGCTGGGTCATAAGTCCTGTAGCCAGTCTTCTTCACTATATTCCTGCTTGAACACGTTACAGTATTTCTAAAAGCATATCACACCATAAATTAGCCTGTAATAATGTTAATGCGAATCTGTGCTGCTTTTCTGGTGGTACCTAGGTGTCCTCCTCCATTGCAATAGCAATATTTAATTCTTTCCAAACCAACCTGGCAATTTGTTGCAGGACTGGGTATTTAGTTAGTTAGCTGGAAAGAAAATGAATGCACATCTCGCTAACAGACCTACAATACTTGTTTCTTGACATAATACGATCTCAAGACAGGGAGGGCTTTATAGCTTAAAACCAGTACATTGAACTTATGTATTGTTTATTTATTATTAAATTTATATGCTGCCCATCTCTCTCAGAGGGTGACTCTGAGTGGCTTACAATCAAAAACCAAGACTATAAAAACAATAAAAATATAAATACCCCCCCAATTAAAACACACATAATTAGGGCCAGAGGTGAATTGGGAGCCAATGAAGAAGTATTGGAATGTAAACTTTCAGATTACATTCAGGGACAGCCCCAAATCCAGCACATTGCAGTAATCCAGGGAAGGATTACTGAAACAAGGTTATTTCTATGCAAATAGGGCCATCGCCGATATATTCACCTAAACATAAAAATTGCTTTGGGCCACAGAAGGGTCACTTGTGCCTCTAATTAGCCTCCAGCAAAGAGACCCAAGCTGATTTAACCAAAAAGTGCTGGAATAAAAATATAGCAATAACAACAACAAATGTCCTATTCTTCTGTTCACAGGGCACTGAAGTCAAGTATGAAATAAAAAAAAAAAAAAGAATTCTCATTAAAATAGGCTGACTGAGAAGGTCATAACAGCTTGGCTAAAATTAGAAAAAAGTAGGGCTCAGTTTAATTCCCAAGAAAAAAGAAGCAAAATTAAGCAAAACTAGGGAAGAGAACTGCTTGAAATAGAATTTCAAACACCCCCAAGAGAAAGGGGTGGAAAATCCCCAAGTTTCTCCTCCCATCTACATGAAGCTTTACCATCTGAAAATAACCACCATTCACTTCCAGATGCTCTTGGGTTATCCTCAAGACTATCAGTATAAATAATATCTGCAACTGTAGAATGTCATTCCCTGTATTTCCTGTTTTATTGCATTTATATCCCACCTTTTCTTTTAGATTCTTGTTTTTGACATATACAGTGTTACCTCGGTTCACGAACTTAATTCGTTCCCCGATTCTGGTCGTGAACCAAATTGGTCGCCAACCGAATCAAATTTTCCCATAAGGTTCAAT